GGCCCGCCGGGGCGACCGGGGGGCGGCGGCGCCCGCCATCCCCATGTGGGCGTCGGCCAGGTGCGCGTACAGCTGCGCGGCCGCGAACGGCGCGTCGCACTCGAGCTGGCGCGGGAGGACGGCCGCGAGGAGGCGCGCCGCCGCGTCGAACTCGGCCAGGGCGACGAGGATGTTGGCGACGGCCCCGATCGCCTGCCACAGCAGGGGCAGGAGGCGCGCGCGCCACGCGATGCCCGCCGCGCGCATCGCGATGGTGAAGCCCCGCTGCGGCCGGCCGACCCGGTCGAACAGGGCCGCCTTCATCAGCAGGAGGCGGACGCGCAGGCTTGTGTCCTTGTTCTCGTCGCGGTGCTCGGCCATCAGCCTCTCGATCTTGTCGAATGCGGCCTCGAAGTCGTGGCGTCGCATCAGGGCGTCAACGTGGAGCGAGTCCACCACAAACACCAGATCCGCCTCGAGATCGTCTGGCTGGGTCTGGAGCAGCTGGGAGAGGAGGTAGTCGGCGCCGTCGAGATCGTTTCGATGCAGGTTTCGCAGCACTTTGAGAAGCCCACGATACCGGCGCCAGTACTGATTCATCTTCCACGTCCTCAGGGCGTTTGCGTCGATGTTCTCCAGCAGGCTCATTGCCTCGTCGTACTGTCCGCGGCCGGCCTGAAGACTAGCCAGACGTGCGGTGATGTTGAGAGAGTCGTCGACGCGCGAGTGTGGGGCGTGGCACATCAGGAAGATCCGGCACGCCATCAAGGTCGTGGACGCACTCCCGAGCCTGTCCCACAGCGCGATGCTCAGCGCCGTCTGTGACGCCACCATGTACTTTATGTTGCGCTCGACCAGGACCTGCGAGCTCCTGACCATGTACTCCACCGCGGTGGCAATGCTGTCTCCGTTGGCGAGACACAGCTTGGCCTCGCTCAGCAATGCAGCGCTCCAGAGCGAAAACATGCCGGCTTCCTTGGCCTTGACCCGGAGGAAGGCGAGGGTCTCCTTGCCGCTGCCGAGCATGCTGTTGGACTCGAGCTCCTTGACGAGGTGCGGATGCGCCTGCCCAAAGTGGAAGAGCCAGTTGAGCGCATAGTTGAGGCACGTCATGTCGCGGTTCTCTCGCGCGGTGGAGACGGTCTCGAGCATGGCGTCGACTGCTTCCTTGTAGCAGCCAAATTCGGCCTGCAGCACAGCCAGAGTCAGGAGTGCATATTGGTAGAATGGTCGATGGCTGCTGTGCATCGTGTAGTCGAAGTATTGATGGAGGTAGTCATACGATGTAGGGTAGTCGCCGGATCTCCATGCGTCTAGACACCTGCGCGCGACAGACAGTTAGTCTCTTGGGTCTTTCCAGTTTTCTTTTCATGAGATGCCCATACCTCAAATAGTGCGATGTACTCGGAACGGCGTAGCTCTCTTTCAACAGCGAGGAATATTCGTTTCGCATCTTGACCGGTACTCGGACACCAAATCCTGGTGTATTGCGTGATTAGCACAACATCAGAAGGCTTGATCGAGAGCGAGAGACAGGGAAGGCACCTACTTTGCATCTGGTCGATCTGGAACTCCAGCAAGATCTCGAGGTCGTCCGTGCTGGCGGGCAGTCGGCGGGCAGCGTTCTCGTCAAGCACGTCGCCATAGGCCACAGCGGCGATATCGGCCGTTGCAGCACCCCATTCGTGCTCTCCGGCCAGCAGGACGCTGTCGAAGCTCAGCGGCCCAGCGGCTGGATTCCGGCGGCGCCAGGCGGAGGCGGTGGGCTGCCTGTACTTGACAAAGTCCTTCCACAGCTCTCCCACATCGCTGAAGCGCAGCCGGCCGAACTCGAGCTGAGATCGTCGCACAAACGTCCCGAAGGGGGAGTTGCGAGACAGCCGAGTGCCTTCCGTGGGAGGTGGCCACCCGGATGCGGCGAGCAGGCTGAGCTCGTCTTTGGTCTTTGCGAGGAGGAGCCGGAGCCTGTCGAAGAACTGGTGCAGTGCGTGTAGCGAGTCGATCGACCAGATCTTGTGTAGGAACACGTCCCACAGGCGTCGCCCCGGCAGGCCAGTCGCGGCCGAGTAGGGGCTGAGCAGCTGTTCGAAGTCGTTGATTGACGCGATGAGCCCGACGATGTCTCGTGCCTTCTGCCAGCGATCGCGAGAGGAGCGTGGATTGGAGAAGCTCGCGACATCAACATCGACATCGACATCAATGAGGTGAGACGTTATGAAGCAAAGAACCGGGAGAGCGCCGTCGTGGGGCACAGCGTCCTCCACGTACAGCTCAACGAGGGCCAAAAGGCATGTCTTGGCGGGCGAAAGGTAACGCGCCATGACTGTGAGAGAAGGCTGTCTTCTGGGGAGGCATACCTACCTAGGTAGGTATCATGTGCAGTCGAGATGTCCCCGTCAATGTAGTTGAGGTCAAGTCAAGCGGATCAAGTAAGTGGCCAACCCTTCAACTGTGAACCTGCCTGTCATTCATTGATGATGGCCTGTCGCCAAGTCGCGCGATCCAGCGCGTGTCAAGGCTCCACATCAAGTAAGCACGTACGTACAAAAAGGGTAAGTGGGGTGAGGACGGTGTGGTCGGTGTGGTCGGTGAGGTATGCTAGGGTGGGGGTCACACCGAGCCTACCTACAACTCTAGGTATTTAGATGTCTAGGTATATCTTTGGCAAATTATAACTATAGTTAGTGGTAAGAGCCCCAGCTACAGTGGTAGGAGCCCTG